TGACTGCAGTGTGGTGAGTGTGGTGAGTGACTGCAGTGTGGTGAGTGTGGTGAGTGCGGTGTGGTGAGTGACTGCGGTGTGGTGAGTGACTGCAGTGTGGTGAGTGCGGTGAGTGACTGCGGTGTGGTGAGTGACTGCGGTGTGGTGAGTGCGGTGTGGTGAGTGACTGCGGTGTGGTGAGTGCGGTGTGGTGAGTGTGGTGAGTGACTGCGGTGTGGTGAGTGCGGTGTGGTGAGTGTGGTGAGTGACTGCGGTGTGGTGAGTGTGGTGAGTGACTGCGGTGTGGTGAGTGCGGTGAGTGAAGGTGCGGTGCGTGCGGCCAGTGCGGTGAGTGTATGAATAAGGGACTTCTTTCGTACCGTACGTAGCAAACCACGTTAATCGGAGGTGTGGGGGAATGGGTGCGGTGATTGAGCGCGGTGCGTGCAGGAAGCGCGGTGAGTGTGGTGAGTGTGGTGAGTGAGTGTGGTGAGCGTGAGTATAGTGAGTGTGAGTGAGTGTGGTGAGTGAGTGTGGTGAGTGAGTGAGTGTGGTGAGTTTGGTGAGTGAGTAACTGTGTTAGTAGCGGGGATGCCGTGATTGCGAGAATAGAAATAAGATTATCGTCCTTGCGTTAGTGCGCCCGCGTGTGTGTGTGTGCGTGTGTGTGCGTGTGTGTGCCGGCGTGTGTTTGCGTGTGTGTGAGTGCAGGCGTGTGTGTGTGTGCAGGCGTGTGTGTGTGCAGGCGTGTGTGTGTGTTCAGGCGTGTGTGTGTGTGCGTGTGTGTGCAGGCGTGTGTGTGCGTGTGTGTGCAGACGTGTGTGTGCGTGTATGTGAGTGCAGGCGTGTGTGTGTGCAGGCGTGTGTGTGTGCGTGTGTGTGCAGGCGTGTGTGTGAGTGCAGGCGTGTGTGTGTGTGCAGGCGTGTGTGTGTGTGCAGGCGTGTGTGTGTGTGCAGGCGTGTGTGTGTGTACAGGCGTGTGTGTGCGTGTGTGTGAGTGCAGGCGTGTGTGTGTGTGTGTGCAGGCGTGTGTGTGTGTGCAGGCGTGTGTGTGTGTGTCTGAAGATGTGAAGAGAGTGGGGAGCGGTTGTGTAGCGGTTAGCGCTACGCTGCGCTATGAACCCGGCGACACGGGTTCGATTCCCGCTCACGACCAACACCAGTGACGATTATCTGAACCATTCCTGGGCCTCCCCTAGGTCGACTCAGTCTCACATAAGTACCTGGTGCGTTGTATAAATATCGCCACGAGGGAGACAAAGGCGGCAGGGCGTGGTGTTGGCCACCCACTCCCTCGTGTGCCGTTCTGGCCTTTATAGGTGCTTGCTAACAGCACTGGCCCCAACAGTCTGTTAAGGCTATATGGGGGATCTTTGTCTTTGTGTGTCATGGTGAGTGTTATTGTGTGTGTATCATTTTTGTGTGTGTTATTGTATGTGTGTGTCATTATGTGTCATTGTATGTGTGTGTCCTTGTGTGTGTGTCACTGTGTGTGTCATTGTGTGTCATTGTGTGTATGTCAATGTGTGTGCGTGTCATTGTGTGTGTGTGCGTCAATGTGTATATGTGTCAATGTGTGTGCGTGTCATTGTGTGTGTGTGTGTCATTGTGTGTGTGTGTCATTGTGTGTGTGTCATTGTGTGTGTGTCATTGTGTGTGTGTCACTGTGTGTGTGTCATTGTGTGTGTGTCACTGTGTGTGTGTGTCACTGTGTGTGTGTCATTGTGTATGCGTGCCATTGTGTGTGTGTCATTGTGTGTGTGTCATTGTGTGTGTGTCATTGTGTGTGTGTGTCACTGTGTGTGTGTCAGTGTGTGTGTGTCACTGTGTGTGTGTCATTGTGTATGCGTGCCATTGTGTGTGTGTCATTGTGTGTGTGTTATTGTGTGTGTGTCACTGTGTGTGTGTCATTGTGTGTGTGTCATTGTGTGTGTGTCACTGTGTGTGTGTCATTGTGTGTGTGTCACTGTGTGTGTGTCATTGTGTGTGTGTCATTGTGTGTGTGTCAATGTGTGTGTGTGTCAATGTGTGTGCGTGCCATTGTGTGTGTGTGTCAATGTGTGTGCGTGTCACATAATCTGCAGGGCTGCCTCCAATGGGCGCCGCGTCTCCCCCATTTGAGTCCCTGAGAGCGATCATGCAGGGGAGCCGCACACAGCGGGGAGATGCGGGGAGGAGCACACACGCACAATGACGCACACACACGCACAATGGCACACACAATGACACACACACAATGACACACGCACACACAATGACACACGCACACACAACGACACATGCACGCACGCACAATGGCACACACAATGACACACACACACGAGCACACACGCACACACAATGACACACGAGCGTACACACACACACAATGACACATACACACGAGCGTACACACACACACTGACACATACACACGAGCGCACACACGCACAATGACACACACACACACGAGCGCACACACGAGCGCACACACACGCGCACACAAAGACAAAGGTCCCCCGTATAGCCTTAACATGCTTTCGGGGCAAGTGCGGTTCGCGAGTAGCACCTACGAAGGCCGGCACGGCACACGAGGGAGTCGGGGGCCAGCAACGCGCCCTTCGACTCCCCAGTGCTGGCGATGTTTACTACACATCGCACCAGGTACTCATTAAAGGCTGATTCGACCCAGGGGAGGCCCACTACCAATTCGGATAATCCTCGATGTTCTTAGCCGCGAGCGAACTCAGGTCGCCGGGTTTGTAGCGCAGCGCCCTAACCACCGTGCCACCGCTCTCCATTACACATGTCTGTGATGGTGGTGTTAATGTCTGACTGTGATGGTGGTGTTGATGTCTGTGATGGTGGTGTTAATGTCTGACTGTGATGGTGGTGTTGATGTCTGACTGTGATGGTGGTGTTGATGTCTGACTGTGATGGTGGTGTTGATGTCCGACTGTGATGGTGGTGTTGATGTCTGACTGACTGTGATGGTGGTGTTGATGTCTGTGATGGTGGTGTTGATGTCTGACTGTGATGGTGGTGTTGATGTCTGACTGTGATGGTGGTGTTGATGTCTGACTGTGATGGTGGTGTTGATGTCTCACTGTGATGGTGGTGTTGATGTCTGTGATGGTGGTGTTGATGTCTGACTGTGATGGTGGTGTTGATGTCTGTCTGTGATGGTGGTGTTGATGTCTGACTGTGATGGTGGTGTTGATGTCTGACTGTGATGGTGGTGTTGATGTCTGTGATGGTGGTGTTGATGTCTGACTGTGATGGTGGTGTTGATGTCTGTGATGGTGGTGTTGATGTCTGACTGTGATGGTGGTGTTGATGTCTGTGATGGTGGTGTTGATGTCTGACTGTGATGGTGGTGTTAATGTCGGACTGTGATGGTGGTGTTGATGTATGACTGTGATGGTGGTGTTGATGACTGTCTGTGATGGTGGTGTTGATGTCTGTGATGGTGGTGTTGATGTCTGTCTGTGATGGTGGTGTTGATGTCTGTCTGTGATGGTGATGTTGATGACTGTCTGTGATGGTGGTGTTGATGTCTGTGATGGTGGTGTTGATGTCTGACTGTGATGGTGGTGTTGATGTCTGTGATGGTGGTGTTGATGTCTTACTGTGATGGTGGTGTTGATGTCTGTGATGGTGGTGTTGATGTCTGACTGTGATGGAGGTTTACCCTTCTATCTGGCAACAAAACTGACACCTTTTTGCAAGGAGTCATGTTTGCATAGACCGCAATACCTGCAGTCATAAATACAAACAAAAGACATAACTCTGATAATGTGCACTGTCCTTGAAGTTGATTGGTCCACACCCGAGACAGCTTTCCTTCGAGCTTAGTCTCATATGGGTTGGACCAGATGACGCCAAAAGGCGCACAACTCAAAGACAATGCACCATCAGAGTATGAGAGCTCGGAGCAAGCTCCTTGTAAAAAGGTGTCAGTTTTGTTGCCAGTGTAGGGGTGTTAGACAGAGAGCGCCTTTTGGCGTCATCTGGTCCAACCCATATGAGACTAAGCTCGAAGGAAAGCTGTCTCGGGTGTGGACCAATCAACTTCAAGGACAGTGCACATTATCAGAGTTATGTCTTTTGTTTGTATTTATGACTGCAGGTATTGCGGTCTATGCAAACATGACTCCTTGCAAAAAGGTGTCAGTTTTGTTGCCAGATAGAAGGGTAAAGAACCAATTATCATATTTTTACTGGCAAATGAGGTCCCCATAGTGATGGAGGTGTTGATGTCTGTGATGGTGGTGTTGATGTCTGACTGTGATGGTGGTGTTGATGTCTGTGATGGTGGTGTTGATGTCTGACTGTGATGGTGATGTTGATGTCTGTCTGTGATGGTGGTGTTGATGTCTGACTGTGATGGTGGTGTTGATGTCTGACTGTGATGGAGGTGTTGATGTCTGTGATGGTGGTGTTGATGTCTGACTGTGATGGTGGTGTTGATGTCTGACTGTTTTGGAGGTGTTGATGTCTGTGATGGTGGTGTTGATGTCTGACTGTGATGGTGGTGTTGATGTCTGACTGTGATGGTAGTGTTGATGTCTTACTGTGATGGTGGTGTTGATGTCTGTGATGGTGGTGTTGATGTCTGTGATGGTGGTGTTGATGTCTGACTGTGATGGTGGTGTTGATGACTGACTGTGATGGTGGTGTTGATGTCTGTTATGGTGGTGTTGATGTCTGACTGTGATGGTGGTGTTGATGTCTGTGATGGTGGTGTTGATGTCTAACTGTGATGGTGGTGTTGATGTCTGACTGTGATGGTGGTGTTGATGTCCGACTGTGATGGTGGTGTTGATGTCTGTCTGTGATGGTGGTGTTGATGACTGTCTGTGATGGTGGTGTTGATGTCTGTGATGGTGGTGTTGATGTCTGTCTGTGATGGTGGTGTTGATGTCTGTCTGTGATGGTGGTGTTGATGACTGTCTGTGATGGTGGTGTTGATGTTTGACTGTGATGGTGGTGTTGATGACTGACTGTGATGGTGGTGTTGATGTCTGTGATGGTGGTGTTGATGTCTGTCTGTGATGGTGGTGTTGATGTCTGACTGTGATGGTGGTGTTGATGTCTGACTGTGATGGTGGTGTTGATGTCTGACTGTGATGGTGGTGTTGATGTCTGACTGTGATGGTGGTGTTGATGTCTGACTGTGATGGTGGTGTTGATGTCTGACTGTGATGGTGGTGTTGATGTCTGACTGTGATGGTGGTGTTGATGACTGTCTGTGATGGTGGTGTTGATGTCTGACTGTGATGGTGGTGTTGATGTCTGACTGTGATGGTGGTGTTGATGTCGTACTCGGCCCGCCCCTGGCCCGCATCTGGCTCGCATCTGGCCCGCATCTGGCTCGCATCTGGCTCGCATCTGGCCCGCATCTGGCTCGCATCTGGCCCTCATATGGCCCGTACCTGGCCCGTATCTGGCCCGTAATCGTATGTACGTTGAACTTCTTTCACGCCGTACTTAGCCAACTGTACTGATTGGAGATTAGTATGAGAGAATGCGGTTCAAAGGATCATAGCGGACACACTGACACTCCTCCAAACACCTACTCGGACAAAGGGAACGATCCCTACACACACCCAGACAGGGTTGGGGCAAGTGGTGTTATCGAGCACAGCATCACACACACATCCTCTATACACCACCATCGCTTTATAAACTCAATCGATTTTCATTACAATATTCTAACAATACATATGTGTGTGTGTGTGTCCAAGTGTGTTAGAAGATGATGGGGAGCGGTGGCGCTGGGGTTCGGGCTGCACCGCGCTCCTTAACCCGGCAAGCCGGGTTTGATTCCCGCTCACGGCCACCAACTCCGGTAACGATTGTCTGAACCGGTCCTGGGCCTCCCCTAGGTCGATTCAGCCTCAAATGAGTAGCTGGTGCAGTGTGTAGTAAATATCGCCACGAGGGAGACAAAGGCGGCCGGGCGTGCTGCTGGCCACCCACCCCTCGTGTGCCGTGCCGGCCTTCACAGGTGCTACTCGCTAACAGCACTTGCCCCTGCAGTCTGTTGAGGGCTACACGGGGGATCTTCGTCTTTATATTTGGTCTTAAATGGATGACAAAAGACATGCATTTACGTGGCCTCCAAGTGCACCTAGCCTGGCACAAGCGCCGTGGTGACGTGACCACCAATTCGTGCCGAATGGCGGTTATTGTTGCTGTTGGTCTTGAAAGGGTGAAAGTGTTTCTGTTTACAGAATAGGCGACGTTTCGGGTTAGTGGCCCTTCTCCGTGGCGCGTGGGTGCTTGTGAGAGAGAAAGGAGAGAACACTGTGACTGTAATCATGACATCCGCGCCAAATCCCAACAGATTTCACAACAACAGCAGCAGCGGCAGCGGCAACATTTTAAAGTGAACTCGATTTGTCCGATCAGATAGCGACACAGCACAATGAGAGAGTGCTCGGTGGCAGATGACGGGGAGCTCTGCATGCAGTTATGAGCTACCCGTCGGAGGCCGTCGGACTGCGAGAAGGGCTGCGTGCAGAACGAGAGAGCGAGAGAGTGAGCGAGAGCGTGAGCGAGAGAGAGATAGGGGTTTACATAAAGCAAAGTTATAAAAAAGAGAGAGAGATAGGGAGAGAGATGGAGAGAGCGGGGAGAAGAGAGAGATAGGGAGAGAGGGGGGAGAGAGCGAGGAAGCGTCAATGCCAGCAACCAGTGACAGTAGACTCGTACGAAGCGTCAGTGTCAACAACAACAACAACGACGACTTGTTCATCACGCATGGCCGGGCATCACCTCTGAGATCGGGGGAGTGGGATTTAGAACGCGTCGTGAAGTGCGTTATTCACAATTGTGCATAGGGCGTCCCTCCAATTTCTCTAAGGAGACCCCCCCCTCCCCCCGGTGTGAGCGACGTGAGCGTGCTGCAGCTTGAGCCGTGCTCTCACGAGGACCTCCAGCATCGCCAGGGCCCCACAGTCAGTCACGACTGTCGCCTGGCAGCCTCCGCTTCGTGCCTTTAGAGGTCGCCGGCTTCGCCCGGCCGCACGCCGCTCGTCAATGCGCTCTCGTCGAAAGGGATGTCCAGCCTGCTGCAGATGGTGCAGAGAGAGAGAGAGGAGAGATTTTAAAAAGAGAGAGGGGGGGGGGGGGGGGGTAGAGAGAGTGGTAGAGAGAAAAGGAAGGGGTAAGGAGAGCAGAGCGAAAATCTTTGGTTAAATCTTTCATTTAAAGCAAAGTATTAAAAAACAAAACAAAACCGAAATGATGAACGAAGCAAAGTGCCGACTACACCGAGCATAATCTTGTTTCCTCTGTTCGTAAAAAAAAAGGGAGACAGAGAGAGAGGGAGGAGGAGGGGGAGATTGGGGCGAGTCGGAGTTGCGTAATTTCAATCCCATTCCGCTCACGACGGCACGTAACGGAGTTGTCGCTCTCGTGACTCGTCTTCTCCCAAGTGCTTGGCGACTCCCCCACGCCCTGCCGCGCCTGGGAATCGGCGTGGAATTGAGAGCCTATACCGCGACCACATGTACTGTCACCCTATTTAATCCTATATACTGGAATCATATTTACCAAATAGTCCTATACTATAACCCAACATCAATATATATTGATATGTATCAATATTTCAATGAAGTCATATATATCGATATAAGTTTATGTTCATGTGTTAGCGCGCTCGGGTGAACGCGCCAACCGCAGACGGGGAATTCGATGTCTGCCCCCGGGTGTTAACGCGCGCGTGTTCACGCGTGGGGAGCGGTGGCGCAGCGGTTAGCGCACTGCGCTATGAACCCAGCAGGCGAGCCGAGTTCCATTCCCGCTCACGGCCAACGCCAGCGACAATTATCTGAAGCGGTGTCTGGGCCACCCCTAGGTCGACTCAGCCTCAAATGAGTACCTGGTGCGGTGTGTAGTAGGGGAGACAAAGGCGGTCGGGCGTGGTGCTGGCCACACCCACCCCTCCGTGAGCCGTGCCGGCCTTCATAGGTGCTGCTACTCGCTAACAGCACTTGCCCCCGACCGTCTGTGGAGGCTACACGGGGGACCTTTGTCTTTGTGTGTGGACATTTTTTTTGTTCCCTCGTCCTCCGCGGGCTCGGCGATGAAATTAACCGGATCACCGCCGCATTGGCGAGCCTGTATCCGTGCGCGCGCCCGCCACGTTATTGAATGGGGCCGCTCTGCTCCGCCGCGGTGTAGTCCCCCTGCACACAAAGCGACGGCGGAGGGACACGCGGCGGACGGAGGGCGGTGATGGGGATTTTTTTGCGCATGAGGCCGACAGCGCGGAGCGTTTTATTTCAATTCACCTCCCGTTGATGCGATTCTTTTGACATCTTAACGGTGGCAATTTGTTCGAAATATATATAAATATAAATAGATAATATTAAAATATAAATAGATAATATTATTAAATGCGCGTTTAATTATTTAACTCGGATATTATTTCGGTGAAATCTGTCATGCATCGATACGGGAAGCATTTTCATTTTTAAAATGTTAGAGTCGTCGTCTTTGGTGTGAGCGCCTTTGTCTCCCCGTGTCTCTGTGAGTCTGTGTCTTGTCCCTGTGTCTCTGTGTGCGTGTCTCTGTGTCTCTGTGTGCGTGTCTCTGTGTCTCTGTGTGCGTGTCTCTGTGTGCGTGTCTCTGTGTGCGTGTCTCTGTGTGCGTGTGTCTGTGTCTCTGTGTGTCTGTGTCTCTGTGTCTGTGTGTCTCTGTGTCTCTGTGTGCGTGTCTCTGTGTCTCTGTGTGTGTCTGTGTCTCTGTGTGTCTCTGTGTCTGTGTCTCTGTGTGCGTGTCTCTATGTCTCTGTGTGTCTCTGTGTTTCTGTGTCTCTGTGTGTGTGTCTCTGTGTGCGTGTCTCTGTGTGCGTGTCTCTGTGTCTGTGTGTGTGTGTCTGTGTCTCTGTGTCACTGTCTGCGTGTCTCTGTGTCTCTGCGTCTCTGTGTGCGTGTCTCTCTGTCTCTGTGTCTCTGTGTGTCTCTATGTGCGTGTCTCTGTGTGTCTCTGTGTCTCTGTGTGTGTGTCTGTGTCTCTGTGTCTCTGTGTGCGTGTCTCTGTCTTTGCGTCTCTGTGTGCGTGTCTCTGTGTCTCTGTGTGCGTGTCTCTGTGTGTCTGTGTCCCTGTGTCTCTGTGTGCGTGTGTCTGTGTGTCCGTGTCTCTGTGCTCGTGTCTCTGTGTCTCTGTGTCTGTGTCTCTGTGTGCGTGTCTCTGTGTCTCTGTGTGCGTGTCTCTGTGTGTGTCTCTATGTCTTTGAGTGTTGTGTCCCTGTGTCTCTGTGTGCGTGTGTCTGTGTGCGTGTCTCTGTGTCTGTGTCTCTGTGTGCGTGTCTCTGTGTGCGTGTCTCTGTGTCTCTGAGTGTCGTGTCCCTGTGTCTCTGTGTGCGTGTGTCTGTGTGTCTGTGTCTCTGTGTGCGTGTCTCTGTGTCTCTGTGTGCGTGTCTCTGTGTCTCTGTGTGCGTGTCTCTGTGTCTGTGTCTCTGTGTCTGTGTCTCTGTGTGTGTGTCTCTGTGTCTCTGTATCTCTGTGTGCGTGTCTCTGTGTGCCGGCCACTCGCCACCACTGTCTGTGAAGGGTGTACGGGGGATCTCTGGGTAGCAAGCGTGTGTGTGTGACTCTGTATGCGTGATTGATTACTCTGCGTGTGTAGTGCAGTGCTTAGCACACTGCGCTACGAACCTGGCCACCCGAGTTCGATTCCCGCTCACGGCCAGCACCGGTGACGATTATCTGAACCGGTCCTCGGCCTCCCCTAGGTCGACCCAGCCTCAAATGATTACCTGGTGCGGTGTCAACATCGCCACTGGGGAGACAAAGGCGGCCGGGCGTGGTGGCGTCCACACCTCCGCCGTCGCGCGCCTTACCGGCCTTCAGGTGCTCCTCGCTCGCAGCACTTGCCCCGAGCAGTTTGTTGAAGGCTATACGGGAGATCTTTGTCTTTGTACTGTGTCCTCTGCCCCCCCGCCCCACCCGCGCGAGCGTTCTGCTCTTCGTGTTCACGGCGCTCCTTGATTTAATATTCAAACAATTAAGGCACGCGGTGAATGCCAATAGCGGCGTGCAACCACCACCACATGCACCACACGCACCACCACCACCACCACCACATGCACCACAACCACCACACACACCACCACCACACGCACCACCATCATCACCACCACACGCACCACCACCACCACACGCACTACCACCACCACACGCACCACCACCACCACACACACGCACCACCACCACCACATGCACCACCACCACCACCACACGCACCACCACCACCACACGCCCCACTATCACCACACACGCACCACCACCACCACATGCACCACCACCACACGCACCACCACATCCACCACATGCACCACATGCACCACCACCACACACACCACCACCACACACGCACCACCACCACACGCTCCACCACCACCACCACCACACACGCACCACCACCACACACGCACCACCACCATACACACTCACCACCACCACACACCACCACCACCGCACGCACCACCACCACATGGACCACACGCACCACCACCACCACACGCACCACCACTACCAGACGCACCGCTACCACCACCACACACACCACCACCACCACATACCACCACCACACACGCACCACCACTACCACACACGCACCACTACCACACACGCCCACCACTACCACACACCACCATCACCACACACACGCACCACCACCACACACGCACCACCACCAACACACACTACACGCATGCAACCACCACCACACACGGACCACCACCACCACACACACGCACCACCACCACACACGCACCACCACCACCACACACTACACGCGTGCAACCACCACCACACACGTCACACCACGAATTTTGCTGCTGTTGATTATGCTTCTGACGCCGTACAGATGGATTTGTGATCGCGCACTGAACCATATATTTGTATCATTAAATATGTTACTGTATTTATCGATTGTTGTTCGATTGTTGTTCGCGTTGAAACTGTGTGATTGTGTTTCGGGGGAGCGGTTAGCGCTACGAACCCAACTCGACCCGAGTTCGAGTCCCGCTCACGGTCACCAACACCAGGGACAACTATCAGAACCGGTGCTGGGGCTCCCCTAGGTCCACTCAGCCTCAAATGAGTATCTGGTGCGGTGTGTAAACATCGCCACTGTGGAGACAAAGGCGACCGGGCGTGGTGCTGGCCACCGACCCCCTCGTGTGCCGTGCCGGCCTTCATCGGTGCTACCCGCAAACAGCACTTGCCCCTACAGTCTGTAGAAGATTATACGGGGGACCTTTGTCTTGGTGTGTGGTGTTCGTGCAAGCGGGGGCCGCACTGATCAGCTGATCGCGGAGCGGGTTCACTCGGTCGTTGTTCGGAACGGAACTCGAAATAAAGAGAGAGGAGGAGGAGGAGACGGTGGCGTCGGAACACGTGGAGTCGCGATGATTTTACGATCGGGAGCATCACGCGCACACACGTACACACACACACGTGTACACAAACACACACACATGTACACACAAACACACATGTACACACACACACGCGCGTGTACATACACACACGCGTGTACACACACACCCGTGTACACACACACACACACGCGTACACACACACGCGTGTATACACACGCGCGTGTACACACACACGCGTGTACACACACACACACACGTGTACACACACACACGCGTGTACACACACACACGTGTACACACACACACGCGTGTACACACACACGCGTGTACACACACACACGTGTACACACTTACGCGTGTACACACACACGTCTACACACACACACGTGTACACACACACACGCAACAAACAAAACAACGCACAACAACAACCGCCGTTCAGCGCTAAGCTGCGGTGACGTCATCACGGGGCTTGTGCCAGGCTAGGTGCACTTTGAGGCCACGGAAAGTGCCAAAGGCTCGCTGCTGGTAGGAGGCCACGGGACAACCGCAGGTGCCGTGCGCTAACTGCCTGAGATCAGTGGCTGATGCACTACCTGTGCCCTTACTGTGCAAACTCTCTGCGTTTTATCCGCCCGTCGCTCTGCTCGTTGTTGTGAGCATCGCTCCTCTGCCCTCCGCTGTTGCTGGAGGGCGACTGCCTTCAACTCCCCAGCAGCAGCAGTGTCCTTCACGAACCTCCTCCACAGAGGCCGATCTTGACACCGCTGGTACCGGTCATTGGAAAGTCCGATTAGCACGGTCGGTTACGTAGGGTGTAAGAAGTTCAACATACAGTACACACGTACAACTCCACATCCTTCTGTACCACATCAGCCCATTTCATCTCTAGCCGGTGCCGCGCCCGTTCAGGCCCCTCCGGTCGAACATTGGCTGCTTGTGGTGGCTGGATACGCGGGCTACACGACCCAGCCAACGCAGCCTTGCCTGCCGGAGGAGCACGCTGATGGGACTGTGTCCAAGTACAAAGACGAAGATCCCCGGTATAGCCTTAACAGACTTTTGGGGCAAGTGCTGTTAGCGAGTAGCACCTGTGAAGGAGGCCGGCACGGCACACGAAGGGGTGGTGGCCAGCACCACGCCCGGCCGCCTTTGTCTCCCTAGTGGCGATGATAACACACCGCACCAGGTACTCATTTGAGGCTAAGCCGACCTAGGGGAAGCCCGGGATCGGTTTAGAGAATTATCACCGGTGTTGGCCGGGTTCGTAGTGCAGCGCAGTGCTAACCGCTGCGCCACCGCTCCCCAATCCCCGCAACACGCGCGCACACCCGCACCGGACCAGCGATCCCTGGCGGAACACGTGACCCCTAAAGAGCGGGATCCGACCCCTGACCCCTAAAGAAGACACCCTAAAAGACACCCCTACGGAGACCCCCTGGAAACATCGCAACGCCTCCTGCCCCCCCCCCATCGCCGCTGCCCCCTCCCTCCCCTGCCCCCCTGCCCCCCCTCCCTCCCCTGCCCCCGTCCTGTGACGTCTCTCCGGGAGCGACGCCACAACCATCAACGAGACTCCGCCAGCGCAGCCACTGAGCCCTGTGGTACCAGTTGGCACCCGACACGGCCTCGCTGTGTCGACTCGACGCAGCGAGGCCGCGTCGCCACCTCCGCGGAGTGCCACGTGGTGCCGGCGCAGCGGACAACGGATCGCTGAACCCATCTGTGCGGAGCTCTGGTGGTGCGGTGTGCAGGCCTCCCAGCCGAGTGGCAGGACCCTCCTGCAGACGCCACTCGAGACTCTTCGGCGCTTTGCGTGGGTGAATGAGTGATTTCGATTGCACGATTAGACTTGTTTTAGATATCCGTTTCAAAGATTCGATCCTTTACAAAGCACGCAGTCTCTCCTGACAATGCGTCTTAATGTGATTAGCGCCTGGCCTGCAGAGCGCGCTTTAATTACGTGAGTAGGGGAGGAGGGGGGTGATTGCTGTTCTGTGGTCTACCCTAGGGCACCCCCAGCGGCAGCTACCTCGCCTGGTATGCAGGAGGTCGTGAGTTCGATCCCGACCCTGACGATGCCTGCTGCTGTACATGTGGAGTCTGCAGTGTCTCTCTCTCTCTCTCATCATCATCATCATGGTGGCTAGGAGATGTTAACTACCTCGCCTGGTATGCAGGAGGTCGTGAGCTCGATCCCGACCCTGACGATGCCTGCTGCTGTATATGTGGAGTCTGCGTGTCTCTCTCTCTCATCATCATCATCACGGTGGCTAGGAGATTTTAACTACATCGCCTGGTATGCAGGAGGTCGTGTGTTCGATCCCGACCCTGACGATGCCTGCTGCTGTATATGTGGAGTCTGCGTGTCTCTCTCTCTCTCATCATCATCATCACGGTGGCTAGGAGATTTTAACTACATCGCCTGGTATGCAGGAGGTCGTGGGTTCGATCCCGACCCTGCCGATGCCTGCTGCTGTACATGTGGAGCGTGCGTGTCTCTCTCCCCCCTTGGCAGCGTGGAATCGTATTCGAGCCCTCCGCTTGTGCCCTCCCCACCCAGACTCAACGTCGCCGCCACGCGCGTTTAGAGTCGTCTGCACGCGACGATGAGCCCGCTTCGTGGGGCTATGATTTGTGCTCGCCAGGTCGCTTCTGAGTGAGAGCTACGTCGCTCAGCGGGCCTCTCGCCTGGTGACAAACCCAAGAGCTGTCCCCATACAGCTCAGTGGTGACTCATCATGGAGCCAGTAAAGTAGGGGGGGGGCGATGATTGCTGTGGGAATGTGCTATGCAGAAGGGCCATTGCCCGAAACGTCGCCTATTATATAGCGTTCCTTTGAAGGCCACGTCCAGTCACACTGCCGCTATTGAGGAACGCGTTACTCGGGTTATTAACCGGTAACCGTTTTACGAATCGATTAACTGATCACATAGGTGAGGAGTCGGTAATGATCGATCCGAGTGGTAATGTGAGTGATAAGTGGACGGGTCCAAGGAAACTCGCTCCATTTGTTCAGCTGCTGCGCCGGGTAATGGGATCGAACCGACAACCTCTGGCTCGCGCGTCACCGTCGTGCCGACTGAGCACGCACAGGAGCACCCGCAGGAAGAAGACAAACCCCACGTGTGTACGAGGGAGCAACGCGCTATCCCACACAGATGGCACAGGTTTGTGTGTGCGTGTTGTGCTTCATTCGTGCGTAGTAACCCAACCTGTCCTAGTCGGAGGAGCAGCTGGAGAAGATACTCTCAGTTATTTCGGTAAAGTCACGTAGGAAAAAAAAATGAAATTAAATTAATCAAAATAAAATAATATTATTTTCTTTTTATAAAAAATGAAATTAAAATTAATAAAAAAAATGAAATTAAAATGAATAAAAAGAAAATAATATTTTATTTTTTATTAATTTTAATTTCATTTTTTTTCAAAAAAATGTACCTACGTGACTTTACCGAAAGAACTGAGAGTACGAATCCTTGCAGTCACGAAAGCTTCAAATCTAGAATTATCTGGAGAAGAGTCCACACATTTGGCTGTGCCGCCCGTCCATGGCCAAGCCGGAGCACGCCACCTCCTCGCCTCTCGCCCGCCCGCCCGCGGGAGGACAATTCCTGCCGCTCGTCTTGGTGTGCTCTGCCCCCTAACGTCCGCTCCCAGGCCCAGCACTTTACCTGCCGCAGCCCAACAATCGCCTCTCATTGGTCCATCGATGACTATGACTACGCCAGAGCGCACGCGTCCACACGAGTGCAGGTAATAACTACGTCATCATCAGTGGGGTAGTAACTACGTCATCATCAGTGGTGTAGTAGCTACATTATCAGTGTAGTAACTACATCATCAGTGACGTAGTAACTACATTATCAGTGGCGTAGTGACTACATTATCAGTGTAGTAACTACATCATCAGTGGTGTAGTAACTACATCATCAGTGGTGTAGTATCTACATTATCAGTGGCGTAGTAACTACATAATCAGTGACGTAGTAACTACATTATCAGTAGCGTAGAGACTACATTATACTGGTAAGAACCTCCTGGTTACACCAGCCCACAGGGGATTACTGTGTCCGTCGTGCAGGGAGGGGCTGGGTGGGAAGGGGAGGGTGGGGAGGGTGGGGCTGGGTGGGGGGTGGGAGGGATGGGGCTGGGTGGGGAGGGGCTGGTCACCCCGTGGTGCCCTTATAAAACTCAACGTCTAACCTACTCACGCCGTCTTGTGCCCGCCAACACAGTCGGCAATATTTGTGGAATACACCACGCCGCCGTTGACCCTGGCCATTGACCGAGCAACCCAACGTTCCTACCAGCTCCCTCCGCAGGAGGAATGTGTTTTATTGATCAGTTCAGGGTTGTGCGGCAATCGTTGAGGTGGGTGCCCCGGTGGTAGATGTGTCTCTCGGCACGGCCGCACCCTCGGGGCCCTTCCACATCGCGGCTCCCCTCCTCCCCATCACCCCACGTGGTCCCCTCGCCCCCATCACCCCACGTGGTCACTCGCCCCCATCACCCCACGTGGTCCACTCGCCCCCATCACCCCACGTGGTCACTCGCCCCCATCACCCCACGTGGTCCACTCGCCCCCATCACCCCACGTGGTCCCCTCGCCCCCATCACCCCACGTGGTCACTCGCTCGCCGTCTCGGCCACTGCACGCTGGAGGGGCGCGCTCCTCCGTCTGCGCACAACGCAGCCACCGCAGCAGCAGCAGCTCCCTGGCGACCTCTTTGCAGGAGAATTGACGCGCGTCTCATGCAGTACATATCCCAGGCAAATGACGTTTCGTTACTTGACGTTTCTTTAACAAAGTTGTTGAAAATAGATCTCATGGTGGTTGTCAATGGGGGGTGGTGGGGTGCATTCCATGCCTGCCCCACGCCCGTTGCTCCATTGCCGCACACAATTGAGATGATTTGTCTGCCTGGTTATTTGTAGCTGCCCAAAAGTGTCTGTAACCACCAAAGTTTCGTCTCTTGGCATCTCCGCTCTGGCATCTCTCTGTCCTCGTTCAAACCGACGCTGGTATTAAACATCGCCAAAGTCCGACATGAATGTAATTCTACAACGTAACTGCTTGTATTAGAATGATGATGACATTAGTTTCGTTTTTAA